CAAATTTGCATTTTTCTAATCATTTATGAACGTGGGCGGATAAGAATTGGTCTCACTTTAAAATGAATTTGTGGCTCGCTCCACGATAACGTAACGGGCAAAGCCTTCATGTATTATGTTTGAGTTGTGTTCATTTAAGATGATGGAGGACGGCTGGTTGAATTTTTCCGCAATGAGCTGAGTGCAGCTGACTTTTCACATAGCCTTGCTTTCCAAAAAGGTTTTCTCATAGGTCTCACCAACACTCGATCATGCCACAGACATCGACTGGACTGTATGCCATTGCACAACTAAGCATCACCCAAGACTCCTGGCAACGAGGTGAGCGGTCGGCTTCAATCCTACAATTTCATAGCTTTAATTTTGGTCTCCACCAGATATCTAGTGCTGTGGCTGGTTGGCTTTTCTTCAATCTCATGAGTGTGAATGAGCACAGGATGAAGACGGCCCTTCAATTCAATATCCTCGCGTGATTCGGGATTGGTAATTGACGAAGAACCATGCAATAATATTCACCGGTTAGTTTGATCGTCCGGTAGGATTGGGTTACTTTTCAGGATGGCTGTTGTCTTGATGTTTGTTTGCTGCGCCAGTTACAGCTGCGAACCTAATTGTGCAATTTCGAGTTAGTTTGGTGCTTTTAATGCTTAAGTTTGGTTGCAAGAGAAAGTGAAGGTTTTTTTATAGCAAGCTTGCTTCGTCAAAACGAGTGAATAAACTAAAAGAAATGGGAAATATTTAAATAGTACATTTAAACATTCTGGTATGGAGGCTTTTTTATGGCAAAATCTGTTCAATTTTACTCTGTTGTAACTTTTGCATTAGAACCCCAACGAATACTTGAGTCACTTTTGCTACTTGGTGAAGTGGTAGTAAATGAGACATTCAGCCAATCTGGGGAAGTTTGAATAGCCAAGATTTTGTTTCAAGTCCGCGATATAAGTGGTAATGGCTCCCAGCATGTATGCATTGAAGGACTGTGAAAACTACTTTAGTTAAGGTCATTTCGCTCCAAATTATCTCGACTTCGTTATTCAGTACTTTCTGTACAACTCAGCCGTGGGTCTCTGTGGTTTGACAAACCGGCCCTTTTGAGTGACAGCCATTTCCGCCGACCTTACATTCTGCCATCTTCTTACGCGTATAATGCTCCATACATCTAAACATTCATACATCCTCCTGTGGCCTTATGCGTGGATTGATAGTCACTCCATCTCGCATACCTTCTCCTGCCTTTCCTACCATACACATTTCTCCACTGCCTACTTTCGCATCAATTCGTGCAGCCTCATTCCCATGCCCTTATCGTCATCTCCACTCACCATCACATTCTCCCACTCCAAATTATTCAAGAATAAAATTTCCCCCGGCCCGCCAAGAGACCAGATGGGACTCAAGCTCAAGGGCGCCCTGTTCTCTTCAATATCCCCACCCTCAGGTGTGGATTGAGAGGGTGAATGGCTTGTTTTAGAATCATCAATTGAGGACAAGGGGAACATTGGATTAATCAGGGAAACTGGTGGGGAAATGACCATAAGAATAATAATTACTTTGATCTGAGCACTACTCCTCATCTGGGCACACAGTGATAGGACTACACGGACAGACAGGTTAGCTTAGAATATGACTTAATCGCGTAGATATGCGCCTAAATGTACCAGCACACTTGCCCCTGAGCGCGCACGAACTTGCATAATTATGTCCGCCACAGTTCTGGCTTATGCTCAACTTCGACTTCAGAATTATTCTCTTTAAAGCCACTCATTTTATGGGCTTTTATCTTGACTCCTCCAATTTCCTTCGTTGGCCATGGCAATCTTAAGAATGCGGGTAAAGGTCTCGTCTCTTTTGACTCAACTAACAAGAGGGCCAATTAAACTGAAGATACTCTGCCTTTTGACGATCACTAGTCGGATGCTTGCAAATACATTTAAAGTATATATATATATGTATTGCATTACAGGATTTATAGAAATAAAACAGGAATTTTGTTTATTTGTCTGCGACTATTTACTGAATGTCTTATGCTTTGTGAAAGATATGTTTAGCGTGAATTCTCACCTTCATCCTTTTTTCTACCCTCACACTTGTTTGGAGTCAAGTGGTTGCAACCAACGCTGTCTGAAATGGCCAAAATGGACAGTAGGTGATTTAAAAGTAGTTAATAAGTAACGCATAGTAATTAATATTCATATCATTGTGGGAAATCTCAACTATCACACACACGTGCGAGTTAGGGTGGCCATAGTTCTTTGCTTAAATGCAGCCAACATCTTGAGAAAAGCATGTATGGTATTCTGGATTATTCTTTTTTATGGAAAGGTAGAGGGGGAAGGGAACTGTGATAATGGAGTTTCATTTTGGCCTATGAAGTTTGCCATGAATTGAAGGCTTTAACTGGCGGACCAAGTTCCAGAGATTATTATCGCTACAAACCCAGTGTTAATTCTTCAGCGTGTGCGTGTAACACCATAATTTTCAGCCCTTAAACAGTCTTCTGCCACGTGTAAATGCTTGGCGGTCTAGACTTGAAGTGGGAAATCACCACTCACTTGCCCAATAATTAGGTCAGTTTCGACTAATAAAATCCACTAGAACGGTTGGGTCGAAACCTCTTTCACTCCATTTGAGCCGTAAAATGTGAAATCTTTTGCTGAGATGTTATGCCCAAGCTTGAATAAGCGAGGCGTGTAGCTGTGGTCTAAGAAAAGACCATTTTTTCTCTGAACGATATTTCGCTTTTTCACTTCGAGCCTCAATCAAGCTGGCTTCACCCCACAACCCGTACATACAGTTAAAGGAAGAGCATTGTCTGGCCAATTGTGAATTGGCATATGCTTGGTCGACCTTGAGAACCGGCTTTTTCCTCGGCGACGTCGAAGCTGCGGTCCAGTAGAGGTGAGGCAACCTCTTGTGAGGCATTATAGAGCAGACTCTGGTGTTAGTCCATACGCATCGCCGAAAGCGACCTGGTCTATTCCAGAATTATTGCTACTTTCTAAACATCTTCAGACCGAAGTGAGTTGATCGCGTTTTCGCAAGTTGGTCGTGTTGCCAGGGCGACTTAGTTGGACGCACCTTGTCCGAGGTCCTCTGCTCCAGCATCAAAGAGAACAATTCTTGGTTCTGAGAATGGCAAGACTCACTGTTGATGCCGACTGCGATGTCGGCGAAACGTCTGAGAATGTACCAAGTCCACAGTCTAGCGCTGAAAAATATGGTGACTACTATGGCAAAAGACTTCGGACAAGATGTGCGCAACTGGGTCGCCCTAACAACAAGACCAAGTTGCATAAACGAAGTCAACCCACTTCTATGCATCGAAAGGAGACTGCGACGACACCTAAGGCCGCACCATCTTGGTTTTCATATCTTCGATTCCTATACTTACTTCCGTTTTGAGTAAAAGTGTTGGGTGAAGAGATTCGAAGCTCGGTTCCGCCAGAAGACGACGGCCGATTCCTCTTGACCCGCTGTCGATTGGCTTTACTGGAACATTCATGCTGACGCTGTTTCCGAGGCAATCTTCTTCGATTCCGGTTGAAAGGTGCTAAGCTTTCGTCCCTCATTTGTCGAACATCAACAGAGCGAGGTAACATCGTCACAACAAAATTTAAGCTAATGAGTCAAGAAAACTCACCGGCGAATCCCTAGAAGTGGTATATATACTCTTTACTCGTTAGCTTGAATTTTGTTCTGATGATGTTACCTCGCTTTGATGATGTTCGTCATGCGACGGACGAAAGCTTAGCACCTTTTCACCGGAATCAAAGCATATTGCTTCGGAAACAGCGTCAGCATGAATCTTACAGCAAAGCCAATCGACAGCTGGTGAAGAGGAATCGGCCTTCGTCTTCTGACGGAACCGAGCTTCGAATCTCTTCACCCAACACTTTCACTCGAAATGGATGCAAGCTCAACAATTATGAAACGAGAGATTCCTCGAAATCCAACTCTTCTTCTCCTATACTTACATCAAGTTTAGTAGATTTCAGTCTCGCTGATGAGTGAATTTTTCACAGCCATACACCAAATGGCTTGATGTTGTTCTTCGAATCACACTTCGCCAGCATCATCATCATCATCATCATCATCAT